CAAAACAATATTAATGTTGATTTGATATTAGAAGAAAAGACAATTTTACTCTTCGAAAAAAGAGTTAAAAACAAACAAAAATATATATTTGTAGTTGTTAGAGAGAACCATGTTGAAGGAACTCGGCAAAATGAATCTGGTTCAAACCAGATTTGGTTTTCAAAATTTAAGTTTGAAGAATAATTGGATAATATTTTTAAATACGTTGCGTTGTAACTATTAATTTTTTTATAAACCGTAATTTTATTATACATATAATCTACACATAATTTATGTTTCCAAATGATCCTATTCAATAGTTTTTTTTTTTTTGAAAATGGATCCTATTCAATAGTTATTCTCTTATAAATCTAATCACATAGTTATCGCTCGGTTTTTGTTTGTAAATCTTTACCACAATGATAAAAGGTGTATACTATGCTCCTTTAGTTACCAGTCACATAAGAATAAGTGGTAGTACAATTGTTTGTGTACTGTTTTCTCTTTACCATTAACTTTATTTTACTCTATTTTGTTTTTACCATATTGCATCACCAAATCATATCTATTATATGTAATAAAAATGATAGCCACAGGACAAAATGGCGATACAATTAACTAAAGTATATACATACATACAAGTTAAAATAAAAACAGTAATTATGAGACGATTAAACTACACATTTCACAATTGATTAATAAAAGGAAGAGAAAGATCAGCCATATAGGACCCTAAATAGACTTATAAGTTTGTCGGACAGAAGAGAGCCACTAACAAACATGTTCCGGGATTGACATATAGCGATTTCGAAGTGGACGAAGAGTAAATACAAGTGGTCTGTATTTATTGAATATTTTGCGATTATGACATAATAGGTTGGAAAATAAATGGCGGCTTTTTGTTCAAACCGCAATAAATTCTTCATCTAACTCGCACATGGTTTGGTATGGAAGCTCCAATGGTTGTCTATTTGATATAATGGATTTAGATTTAGATGACTTATATTTATATGAAAATATTATCGATTAAAACTTTTTTTAAAAACACCACTTACCTTGATTCATAACACACGTAAAAAATCACAATAACTTGGTCAGGACTTATTATAAGAGATGTGTGCTTAGTCGTTCATACGTTTCAGAATAGAGCTAAATTTAAGATTCCAACATAACAATTTAAAAGAAAAAATGATTAATATATTCACAAGTGCCCCCATAGGTTGTTTTTTTGTTTTTACCAAATATATGAAATTTTCATTACATATATGTAGGTACAATAACTTTTATTTAGAAGTGGCTATTGAGTAGTGGACGGTTTAATATCTCATACCTAACAATAATTTAATCAATAAGAAAGAGATGTCGTCTATATAAGTACGTTTTGATCTACTAGGTTATACCCTGTACTTCGGAACAAGCAAGACGCATTTTGCTGTCATGCATTTGTGATAAAAAATTTGCCGGATCAAGAAAAAATATGATAATTGTTACATCAAGTTTAGCTAACTAAGAACTAGAGATTCTAAAACTTTCGGAAACCTTTATGTTAAGTATGGAAGATTTTATAAGTTAATTACTCTATTAATTTAGCGTTCCCATGTGAAGTTTTTATACTACTAGTTAATGAAAAACTTATCATCTGAGGACACTGTAAATTTGATTATATATCAACTCCTCAAAGTACACTTTAAAACGTACAGAGTTTTGTGGGACTCTTGAAAAGAAATTACATGCTGGTTTTGTTATACACAAAGCAAAAACTGACGAGGTAACTTATGAATTGTTTACTTGTCATAAAAAAAGAGATACAATTAATTAATTGTTAGGAGCTCTAGAAACCGTTAATGTCTGAATAGTGGAAGGTAATTTGGGTAAAACGGTAAAGCCTAGTTGGTAGATTTGAGTAAATTATTAAACTAGTTTTCTCATATTTTTTTAAAGATACATATATATGTATATATTATTAAGACTTGTTACTAGAAACATGTGGAGGGAAAATCGCAAAAGGATTTCGGAATTGAATGCAGTGAGTAGTAGAGTAGGAGTTAGTGGTTGGAGTAAGTTAATGAGAAGATTAAAGTAGATAATTAAGTGTTGCTATATAATCGACTGTGATACCGTATAGGTTTTGATCATCGGGCAGTGAGCACTGCATAGAACAAACATACTCAAAAGTAGGAAGACATGGGGCGTCTCGTTAGTGGAGCTACTCTCTTATCTTTGTTATGTTTCCATGTCTTTGTCGTGAATGTTGCAGCGAGAGATGGTAGCAAAGATGAGGAGGAGAAGACGTTGATTGGAGGCGGCAAGGGAGGTGGCTTTGGCGGCGGATTTGGAGGAGGTGCCGGTGGTGGATTTGGAGGAGGAGCTGGTGGTGGTTTTGGAGGTGGTGGTGGTGCTGGTGGAGGCGGAGGAGGTGGTGGAGGTTTTGGTGGTGGACATGGCGGAGGCGTCGGAGTCGGTGGTGGCTTTGGAGGAGGGGGAGGACACGGTGGAGGAGTTGGTGGAGGGTTTGGAAAAGGCGGAGGGATCGGTGGAGGAATTGGAAAGGGTGGCGGAGTTGGCGGTGGAGCTGGTGGCGGTATTGGTAAGGGTGGAGGAGTTGGTGGCGGAATTGGCAAAGGCGGAGGTATTGGTGGTGGTATAGGCAAAGGCGGAGGTATTGGCGGTGGGATCGGTAAAGGCGGTGGAGTTGGTGGTGGCATTGGCAAAGGTGGAGGTGTTGGCGGTGGCATAGGCAAAGGCGGTGGAGTTGGTGGCGGCATTGGCAAAGGTGGAGGAGTTGGCGGTGGTTTTGGGAAAGGCGGAGGAGTTGGCGGTGGAATTGGCAAAGGTGGTGGTATCGGCGGTGGCATTGGAAAAGGTGGAGGCATTGGAGGCGGTATTGGCAAAGGCGGAGGTATTGGCGGTGGTATTGGCAAAGGCGGAGGTATTGGCAAAGGCGGTGGTATTGGCAAAGGCGGAGGTATTGGCAAAGGCGGAGGTATCGGTGGTGGCATTGGAAAAGGTGGAGGCATTGGAGGTGGTATTGGCAAAGGCGGAGGTATTGGCGGTGGTATTGGCAAAGGCGGAGGTATTGGCGGTGGAGCTGGTGGCGGCTTTGGAAAAGGTGGTGGGATTGGTGGCGGTATTGGCAAAGGTGGAGGCATTGGAGGGGGAGGAGGCTTTGGCGGAGGAGGTGGATTCGGTAAAGGCGGTGGAATCGGTGGTGGTATAGGCAAAGGAGGAGGATTTGGCGGAGGAGGTGGATTTGGGAAAGGCGGAGGTTTTGGTGGAGGTGGTGGATTTGGTAAGGGCGGAGGATTCGGTGGTGGAGGCTTTGGAGGGGGAGGTGGAGGTGGAGGTGGAGGCGGAGGAGGCGGCGTAATCGGACACCACTAAGCAAAACACACATGATGAAGTTGCATTGAGTGCATGCATGCCTCACGTACACATGCATATGGATTATTACTAGTCTTTGAGTGCTCTCAATTATATATACTAGTTTCATCTACTTTGAATTACGAGGATTGAGTTTCTTTAGACCATCCTAATAATTTACATCATATCATGTAGAACGCTAGAGTTGCATTTGTTCGGAATGTAATGTTTTTAAAAATATCGATGAGGAGCACTGACCTACTAAGCAAAATTACAAATTATCTAGACTCCATAATGAAACGCAGAAATTGTTGAGAAGTAGAAATAAACAAACACCACAAGTACTACAATATTACAATAAGGCCTTCATGATTATATGTAAAGGCTTCTTATCCTCTTTAACAAAATGTGTTCCACCCAAATTATGCAAACACTTTGAATATAAGTCAAAGAAAACAAATACGCACGGAAAGCCACGTAGATAGATGTTGGTGAGATCGGTCTTCGCCGCTTGTTGGCTGTAAGTCTCGCCGGAGGCTGACCTTACGGTAAGAAGCCAATTTGCAACGTTCTTGTTCGTCACCGCTTCCATTTTCGACCAATCACTTTTCTCTCCGCGTGAGCTATCTTTTGGAGAATCGCTAATATAATGTTCTTTTAAGTATTCAATTAATTATTAGTTATATAAGTAAAATCATGTTTAAAACGATTACAATACCAGGTCCCTATAGGAAAAGACAAATGGTTCCAAAACTCTGGCGTCGCTTCATTTGAAAATGATGACTCAACGGATCGTGATTGAAAAAATATTATCTGACCTAGTTTGTGTAAGAATGAATTTGTCTTCTTTTATATCTACTGGTTTTTCAATATCATACTTCAAATATTAACGGTGATTTTTTTTCATTGTTGTCAAAATAATAAAATCGATATTGACACATCAGTATATACTGCATTCGACGTTGAATCTTGTTTAATAATCAAATTAATTTTGAACAAACCAAAAATAATAATAATAATTAAATATTGAGCCAAAGGATTTATTCAATGAAATGTCAGTAAGGCCTGCCATTATTTTAAACTGTAAGTTGTTGATACCAGTTTAACTGAAATTGACATATCTCCTAACATTGATCCAAAACATAACACAAATAGATCGTTAAATATTAAAACTTGTTGTTCACGACTTGCGTGAAACTACCACTTTCATTTATGAATGAAAACCAGCTAAGACATTACATGAAATTGACTTGTCAATTTCTTCTCGCATAAATTAACCATACAGAAATTTTATAATCCATTTTAAAACCATTGGATTGAGGCGACGATAAAGGTTATCCCGGATTCCATGGCCGATCTTCTTGACCTGTATTAGAATGATAACTACGCTATCTATCTGTAATTAATTATTTTGTTAATCAAGTCATAAATAATATGTCTACTTGGATACGCCTTGAGCTTCTTGGCTTATTCCTTTATAAGTAACCAGGATAAGAGTGAATGCAATGTTGCTTCGACGAATTCCACATCTTTTGATCAAATCCGCTTTGTGACAAATTAGGCAAAGGTATATTTTTCTTGTCTACATGATATACTTCATATTGATTCATTCTGTAAATTAATTTTGTCCAAGAATCTTAGAAAAATAGCTTTTGAAATAGAATAAAGATGAGAGTGGCGGTGATCGGAGGTGGGATTAGTGGGTTGGGAAGTGCCTACGTTCTTGGCAAAGAAGATGGAATCAAGGAGGTAGTGTTGTTCGAGAAGGAGGAGTCTTTGGGAGGTCATGCTAAAACGGTGCGGTTTGATGGCGTTGACTTGGACCTTGGATTCATAGTCTTCAATTCTGTACGTATGCTTGCTCTTTCCTTTCTTTCTCGAACTGTCAATCAAAAAAATTATTTTAGTTTTAAGCAAGTCTACATATCATTTTAGCCACAATAAAGTTTATCCTACGGTACCCATTTCGGGTTTTCCCTTTTTGATGTCGAATCTCTGTATCGTTAGGTTAATATAAATTTCCTCTATTCCAAAATATATGATGTCTAGATAAAAGTACAAGTATTAAAAAAAATATATCATTTAAAGAACCAAAAGTATCATATATATATTTGATACCCTAGAATTTAAAGAATCAAAAGTATATAAATTTCCATATATAAATTTGTAATACATTTCATAATAAAATAAAAAAGTGTAAATGTATAATACACTACCTGATGATGTATACGTACGTGGGCCAAATGCTGAAATGCATAAAGTCTATTGTAGCTCGTTTTGATAGGTCGTGAGTATATATACAATAAAAATAGGTTTAGCAGGGGAAAATAGGTTATTTCATATATTGCGTTTACATTTGCATTTATATTTGATTAGGTTACGTACCCGAACATGATGGAGTTGTTCAAGAATCTTGGAGTAGACGTGGAGGTTTCAGACATGTCTTTCTCAGTGAGCCTTGACAACGGCAGAGGTTGCGAATGGGGAGGCCGTAATGGCCTCTCGAGCTTGTTTTCTCAGAAGAAGAACGTATTGAATCCGTATTTCTGGCAGATGATCAGAGAGATTATGAAGTTTAAGGGAGACGTACTAAAGTATATCGAAGAGCTGGAGAGTAACTCTGATGTCGACCGAAACGAAACGCTTGGAGAGTTTCTCAAGTCCCATGGCTACTCTGAGTTGTTTCAAAAGGCTTACTTGGTGAGATATTCTGTTACTAAGAGTTTTCTTGTTCGACAAGAAATCTTAAGTTATATGAGAAGTTGTTTTACAGGTACCGGCATGTGGTTCGATATGGTCATGTCCATCAGACGCCGTCCTTAACTTCTCGGCTTACTCTGTTCTTTCGTTTTGCCGCAACCACCATCTGCTTCAGGTTCATATATGTTATCTTGCAAATAAATATGTTCTAAAGTGTAATTCTATTTTCTAGTCTTTACAAAAAAAAAAGAAGAATGTTTTTCTTAACATCATTTTTAATTTCTTTCTCAGATTTTTGGGAGGCCACAGTGGCTGACTGTTGCAGGACGTTCTCATAGATATGTCGCAAAGGTTACAAACTATAAAACATTTGATTGTATATAGAGACAGAAAGAGAGAATTGATTTTGTTACTTAAATTTCTTGCGGAGCAGGTTAGGGCAGAACTGGAGCAACGAGGATGCAAGATTAGAACAAGTTGCAATGTACAATCTGTTTCAACATCTGAGGATGGTTGCGTCAGAGTAACTATTGGAGATGGAACTCAAGAAGTATTCGACAGGTGTATATTAGCGGTGCATGCACCAGATGCTCTGAGATTGCTTGGAGAAGAAGCCACCTTTGATGAAACTAGGGTTCTTGGTGCTTTCCAATACGTTTACAGGTAACATTCAATTATTTTCTTTGATATGAAAAAAAACAACGATCATTAAATTTTCTTTTTCGATTGCAGCGATATGTATCTCCATCGCGATACTGATTTCATGCCAAAGAACCCTGTTGCGTGGAGCGCATGGAATTTCTTAACAAGTTCGGAAAATAAAGCGAGCATAACATATTGGCTCAATATAATTCAGGTATATTATTAACATCATCGACAAAAATTTAACATCAAAGAGATGAGACTGAAGGTGTGTTTTTCTATTGCAGAATCTCGGAGAGGAACATGAGCCCTTCTTCCTCACATTTAATCCTGAAGCTACCCCAAAGAAGACATTGTTCAAATGGACCAGTGCTCATCCTCTGCCATCTGTTTCCGCTTGGAAAGCTTCACAAGAGATGAACAAGATTCAAGGGAAACACGGTCTATGGTTCTGTGGTGCATATCAAGGTATAAAGCCTAGACTATGTTTGCAGACTCAAATTCCATTTCATCCCTGTCAATATTCATTTTCATTTCGTTTACCTTTTTGTAGGTTATGGTTTTCATGAAGATGGTCTAAAGGCAATGCTTATTCTATGATTAATCTAATCCATACTCTTCTTGATGAGTATTTATTGTTGTTGTAAATTTAATGTTCATTATCATTATGTTTATTAACATTATGTCAGGCTGGTATGGCGGCTGCACAAGGCTTGCTAGGGAAAGATATGGTCACTCCTCTGAGTAACCCGAAACACATGGTCCCTTCTCTAACCGAGAAAGGAGCTCGGTTCTTCTTTACAAGATTCTTGAGACAGTTCATATCAACTGGTTCTATAACGTGAGCCCCTTTACTCACACTTTTAGTCATTATTTCCTTCAAATGTTACATTTACTTATGAATTATCCCCTAACAGAGTACATGAAGAAGGAGGAACAGTGTTCACTTTCGAAGGAAAGGACTCGAGATGTCGCTTGAAAACTGTCTTGGAGATTCATAGTCCTCAGTTTTACTGGAAGGTTAGTGCATAGGAAGATCTCTCTTTGTTTCTTCCAAAGCTCAAGAAACTGGAATCTTGATTATATTTCTACACAGGTTATGACACAAGCAGATTTAGGACTTGCTGATGGTTATATCAATGGAGACTTTTCGTTTGCCGATAAAGAAACAGGACTTCTCAATCTGATGATGGTATTGTAGTGGTACATGCACTTATTGAAAGCATAGAGATTGAGTTCAGAATTAAGCTTCTGACATACATATCTGTTTTATTGTGAATTCTTGCAGATCCTCATTGCTAATAAAGAATTGAACTCAAAGAACTCAAATCTTTCTAAGAAAAGGTAATCAAAAAGAATATTCGTTTTTTTAGCTATAGCTATGTTGTGTAAGCTTTCACTTGATCATACCATTGCACTTTTTTATTTTTTTATAAAATCACACAGGGGATGGTGGACACCGATGTTTCTGACTGCTGGTTTAGCATCTGCGAAGCATTTTCTAAACCATGTCTCTAGACAAAACACTCTAACTCAAGCTCGTAGGAACATTTCTCGTCACTATGACCTTGTAAGTGTTCTTGTATATATGCCCACTTCCTTTCTGTCTCTAACAAACATTTTCTTGCTGTTTTTGAATTGCTTCATCGGTTGGTTGATTTTGCAGAGTAATGAGCTTTTTGCTTTGTTCTTGGATGATACCATGACTTATTCCTCTGCGGTTTTCAAGGTGACTATTGAAAATGTTCTGAGATGACTTTCTTTGCACTCTCTGATTCCTTAAAGATCTCCTTCTAACTTCATGTAAAACTTTTACAGTCGGATGATGAGGATCTGAAAGCTGCACAGATGAGAAAAATATCTCTTCTGATTGATAAGGTAACACATATAAAGAAGAACATTTTCTTGATTTACTACAAGAAACACACGATTTTCCTCTGTTCTTGAACTGACCAAAGTGGTACATTTTTCAGGCGAGAGTAGAGAAGAAGCATGAGGTTTTGGAGATTGGATGTGGATGGGGAACTTTGGCCATAGAAGTAGTGAGAAGAACCGGATGCAAATACACTGGCATTACACTATCTATTGAACAACTTAAATATGCAGAAGCCAAAGTGAAAGAAGCTGGACTTGAGGTTTGCATTAATTCATTTATAGATCTTGGTTTCTTATTTTCTGAGTCTATGACTAAACAATATAACTTCTGAAACCTCTCAGGATAACATTAAGTTTGAGCTTTGTGATTATCGCCAACTATCTGATGCTCACAAATATGACAGGATTATATCTTGGTAATATATTTCTTCTGCTCATATATATATAACTCTGTAATCTCTCTTATTTCATTAACATTTTTGGATACTTCAGTGAGATGCTAGAAGCTGTTGGCCATGAATTCATGGAGACATTTTTTAGTCACTGTGAATCTGCACTTGCAGAAGATGGCGTTTTTGTATTGCAGGTAACATTTTCTTTTTTTTCCCCTCAACAATTTCCTTTGAGCCTTCATGTTTTCACAACCATTGCTCAATTCTTTATAATGTCTTGCATATAAACAGTTCATATCGATACCTGAAGAACGTTACGACGAGTACAGACGCAGTTCAGATTTCATAAAAGAATACATATTCCCTGGTGGATGTCTTCCTTCTTTAGCTAGAGTTACTTCAGCCATGGCCTCTTCTTCAAAGCTTTGGTAACTTCTTTTTTTATTATTATTATCAAAACTTAGCTTCAAGTGCAAATTTTCTCTTCCTTTGACGCATCTAACACCGTGAAAAAATCAGCATCGAGAACGTTGAGAACATCGGAATCCATTACTACCAGACTCTGAGGCACTGGAGGAAGACTTTCTTGGAAAGACAGAAGTAAGCTAAAACACTAAAAAAAATTCCTCTGTTTTTCTGTTCTTGAATCATCATGCTTGCTCATATATGTCTGACTATTATTATCTTCACAGACAAATCATTGATCTTGGATTCGATGATAAGTTCATAAGGACATGGGAATACTATTTCGACTACTGCGCAGGGGGTTTCAAGACTCTAACCCTTGGAAACTACCAGGTAACATTTATATCATTAGTGTGTATTAATCACACTAGTTTCCTTAAGTTTCACTAAACAAAGATTTGATTTGAACAAACTTGATCATACGTTTCTACAATATTACAGGTTGTGTTCTCACGTCCGGGGAATGTTTCTGCACTCGGAGAACCATTTCGTAGCTTCCCTTCTGGTCAAAGCTAAACAAGACTTACATATATGACTTCTTTCCATATTTATAAGTAATAATCTCATTTCCTGTGCTATTTCTCATAAAAGATTCATAGTTTGCGTGTGTAAGTTTATATATAATCATATGAAAATTATATGGTTGCGTTATTGTATCAATTTTATTCTACAGCGAAAGTTCATTATCGTCTCAACAATGTGTCTGATCATTTTACTCAAGCTGTTATGCAGTAATGATTCACTTCCGTTACGACAATATTAGAGAAGTATGTTCAATCTTACATATACATAACATTGATTTTTGTTTCATACCATAGCTTCTTTATTTTATAAACATGGCAAACGCCAAAAAAGTTACAGAACCTGTGAAATAGTTTTTAAAGCTGACCTTGTATTTGTCCAAAACCTTACATTTTCGAGGCTATGCGGCTTAAGGTTGCTTCTATAGATCCATGAGGCTCATCTGTTGGCAGGTACACATCATCCTTAAACTGCAAAAATCAGTATATCAGAAATCATTGTATGCTATGATTATTATCATCGTTTCATTCTACAAGGCAACAACGCATGAAGATTCTTCTTAACATTTAGACCAAAACAAAAAAAAAAAGATTCTTCTTACCTTAACCATTGAAGGGTTTTCCTTGGATGAAAGATTTACAGGTAGAAAGTGAATGTTTGGCATTTTAAGGTGAATCCATGATACATCACCGAACCTGATCATGTTAATAAGAAGAACCTGGTCATGGTAAGAATCATAGAATCACATGAACAGTGAAGAGAATGTGGACAGATGTGATGATTGATACCTTCGCAGTACAGCGCTTCCCATAAGATAGAGAGTGCGTTGCACAGAAGGACTATACACACCGGTTTCTGGAGGACCAAAGAAAGTCTCCATCAGAACTTTCTTTACGTCCATGAACTTGTCGCTGAAGTATAGTCCTTTATTTGGTACGCTTGCAACTGAGTCGTACGAGTACCTGTTCACCATGAACGTCGATTTCGGTTTCAAAAATCAATCAATTCACAGATAAGAAGTATATGAAGCATCATCGTCAATTAATGCATACCTCCAAGTTGCATTCACCTCTGTGGCCAGCATTCTCTCTCGAGTTTCAGGAAGAATGGTGTATTTGTCTCTCACAAACCTCTCAAAACCTGACTGTTTATTTGCATAAAAGAAGTTTCCGTAAACAATCAATTATCCAAAATTGGCTTTTGACATCCATTCAGGTCAACAACAAAGCTCAGTTTTCACTCTGTTTTCATATCATTCTTCTATCTATGAAACCAACAGACAAATCATGAAACTCAACCGAATTATTTAGGTTAAGATAAAAGTCTGGCCTCAGAGGTTAAAGAGAAGCACGTCAATACAGAAGAAACACCAAAAGAGACACATATGCATCCAAAGCGACAAGAGATAAAAACTGGAAAACACTAGTCAAAAGATAATTCAACTCGCCATTATCGAAAGCTATGACAGTGATGACCAATACATAAAAATTCAACACCTTTTTCTACCAACATATATACATCTGCAGAAAAAAAAACCAGAACTTTGTGTACCTGAGTTGTCTTCAGGAGAGCTAGCCCTGAAACACCAGAAGTTAACTCAAGTGAACCAGACTTTTGTACTGTCGCCTCTGTGGTATGGCTCTCTGACCCAAGCTTAAAACCTTCAAACAAACAAAAAATTTGAGAAACTTATAATATAGCAAACTCGGTTCCAGAAGAAGAAAAAGCGAGAAAACCCACCATGTAAATGTGGTTTTCCATCGACGCATACACGCTCCCATGGCTTCTCAATGATTCTCACAATAGCAGTGAAGACCTGTATAAAACAACAAACGAAGAAAGAGATGGTTACACACTTTTCAAGAGTAATAAGCAAAGTGAAATGAGTAAAGCTATGTTGATGATAGATAGTGTGTATACCTGTGGATAAAATGAGCAAAAGTGTTTCCCTGTAAGTATAGCAAATTCCTCCACAGAGATTCGATCTCCACATTCCTTGGCCTTCACATAAACCTTTCATTCCAATACAACAGATCATTTTTTCATTTGATATGTTTCCAAATCCAGCAAAAAAAACATGATTCTCTAGAAATTCAGATACGAATAAGAATATATTATATCCAGTCTCAAGATCCAACTATGGTCTCTACAATCCAGGCCAGAGAAAGATTTATAAACCATGATAATTCAACTTTGACTAAAATTTGACTGACCCTGAGACGGATTTAGCTATAAAACTAAGCCCAATTTCGAGTTAATTTGGATGACATACGGTGTTTTTCATGGTATCGGTGGCGACGATGTCGGAGTTATCGTCACGGTGGTAGGAGGAGAGGCAGTGAGAGAGAAGGCTGATGCTGACGCTCCATTCGACAAAGTGATGAGATCCGTCGTCGTGACGCCAAACTCTCGCCACTCTCACTCTCGCCTTCCCATGCCTTTGCTCCAATCTCAGCCCTTCTTCTGCCATTTTTCCCGTAGTAGCGAGAATCGAGGGTGATTCAGCTATCACAAAAACCAAAATCGAAGAGATCGTAGGATACTACAAGATCCAGGAGAATCGAATCGGGAAAAAAAATCGGTGAAGAATCAAAAGGCCGATTTTAAGATTTTGACGATTTTTTTATTATTTGTTGATGATAGAGAAGATGGTCTGAGATCATCAACGTCGATGACATCGGGACACGGAATCCAGCTTTTAAAGTCGAATCTTTTATTTAATTTTTTTTCTTTTGTTCCGGAAATATTTTAAAACATTATTATTATATTTTTTAATATACATTGCTCTGTCAAGTGTCCAAGTGTAAAACATTATTCATCAAAGGATCAAATCATAGGATAAAGAAATTATTTTGAAGTACATGATTTAAGGTAGTTCACACAGGACAGGCAACGGTGAATAAGATAAGATAAGAATCTTGTTTTATAATCAAATTAAACCAAGAACATTATTATATATTTCAAAAAAAAAAATAATAGATGAATGATATATATACAAGTGGAGCAAATCAGACATCAACTGTGTCATACTGCCCATATATAAATAGTACACAACTCGACTATGTCATATAAGCGAAAACAATCATACAGTACAAATAAAAATCTATTTTTGGTATCTCTCTTCTCTACAATTTCATTTCCATTTTCAGATCCAAATCCATAGTGCTACAATACCAATCAAAAGAGGTAACATTGCTTTCTCTATTGTTTTTCTTTCTCCTTTTCCAAATTTGTAGTCAATAAGATCAGATTTCTTTTGGTGGTCACTTTTGCACTCTCTCTTTTCTCCAATCACTTCCTGATCCTGAAAAACAATAATATTGGGTCCGGATCCCTCATATTCGTGCATATCAGATCTGGATCCGTTAAAAAATAGTTAAAAATACATGATAATACAAAAAAAATGTCATATATAAAATGATTCACGGTTATGTTATCTTTAGACAGGCATGGCAGGTGCAAGTTGTTTACTAGGGAAAGGAACCAATCTTATCAAAAATCTGCAACGTATGGTCCTTTCCTTAACCGAAACAGGAGCTCGGCTTTTCGTTACTAGATTCTTGCACCAATTCATATCCATCGGTTGTGTTACGTGAGGCTCAATCTATCTCCTCAATCTATAAAATTATATTACGTTACGCGCCATTTTGCTACATTAAATACTTACCGTATATGAACTTTAACAGAATACTAGAAGAAGGAGGAACGATGTTCACGTTCGGGGGAAAAGACTCTACTTGTCCTTTGAAATCTACCCTCAATATTCACAGTCCTCAGTTTTACTGGAAGGTAGATTTATATTTACGACAATAAAAAAGTTAGAATATCCTTTTTTGATCCTTGGTCCTTGATCCACTATCCTTGATTTTTGATTTTTGATTCTTAGGTTATGACACAAGCGGATATAGGACTCGCAGATGCTTATATCAGTGGGGATTTTTCTTTCGAAGATAAAGATGAAGGACTTTTGAATCTGATTATGGTACAGAATATACTTACTTCTTCGATTTATCAAATTGTTAAAAATGTTTATCCGCTTACTAGATAAAAACTTTCGGCAGATTCTCATTGTTAACAGAGATCTGAGATCAACAAAATCAAAACTTGCCAAGAAAAGGTAAAAGCATTAAGCTATCTGCATAGAGAGGATTAATGCTTGGCATGCAAGCAAACTTGATGCCCTAATGTTTATTTTTTTACTTGTGATTTAACAGGGGATGGTGGACACCGGTTTTTCTAACTGCCGGTTTAGCATCTGCAAAGCATTTTCTAAAGCATGTCTCTGAAAAGAACACTCTAACTCAAGCTCGAAGGAACATCTCTCGTCACTATGACCTTGTATGTGCCTTGAATCTCCACCTCTCTTTAAATCTTGATGTATACTTCCTCGGTCTTTTGGGTTTTATGATCGGATTCTCTCTTCACAGAGCAACGAGCTTTTCGGGTTGTTCATGGATGATACCATGATGTATTCGGCTGCAATATTCAAGGTGACCATTAAAAAAACTCCCTGGATTTTCTCTTACTGCACTCTGATTCTGACTACAAACTTTCTCTGTTTTTGCGATTATAGTCAAACGATGAGGATCTGAAAGCTGCACAAATGAGAAAAATATCTCTTCTTATTGATAAGGTAACACATCTAAAGAAGAACATTTTCTTGAATTACTACAAGAACCACACGATTTTCCTTTGTTCTTGAACCAACCAGAGTGGGACACTTTTTCAGGCGAGAGTAGAGAAGAAGCATGAGGTTTTGGAGATTGGATGTGGATGGGGAACTTTGGCCATAGAAGTAGTGAGAAGAACCGGATGCAAATACACTGGCATTACACTATCTATTGAACAACTTAAATACGCACAAGCAAAAGTGAAAGAAGCTGGACTTGAGGTTTGTATTAATCCATCTACGGATCTTGGTTTCTAATATTAGTTCCTTTTGATAGTATAACAATAGTTCCTCTGACTCGCTAGGAACGGATTACGTTTGAGCTACGCGATTATCGCCAACTATCTGATGCTCACAAATATGACAGGATTATAGCTTGGTAAAACCCTTTTTTTGTTCCCTCTCTGTTGAAATAACTTTGTAGTTTCTCTGATGACAAAACATTTTCTTGATGTTTCAGCGAGATGATAGAAGCGGTTGGTCACGAGTTTTACGAGACGTTCTTCAGTTGTTGTGAAGCTGCGCTTGCAAAAGATGGTATATTTGTCATGCAGGTAACAACACTTGCTTCTTCTATTTCACAGTCCCCTCGTAGTTGCACAACTGTTTGGTGATTGTTTTTAATGTTTAACAATAATAACAGTTCACAGCAATACCCGAAGAGCTTTACAATGAGTACAGACTAAATTCAGATTTCATTAAAGAATACATATTCCCAGGTGGATGCCTTCCTTCTTTTGCCAGAGTTACTTCAGCTATGGCCTCTTCTTCGAAGTTTTGGTAAAATACTTTGTTTATAAGAGTTTAGCTTCATGGGAAATTTCTCTGCTTTGTTTTTGTCTTACGTGTCTAACACTCAAACAAATAACAGCATTGAAAACGTTGAGAACATTGGGATTCATTACTACCAAACGCTGAGACGCTGGAGAAAGGACTTCTTGGAGAGACAAAAGTAAGATACATTCAAGAATCAGTATTGTTTGTTCATATGTCCAAAAAACCTAACTATTATTTGTGCAGACAAATCATTGATCTTGGATTCGACGATAAATTCATAAGAACATGGGAATATTACTTCGACTATTGTGCAGGTGGTTTCAAGACTCTTTCCCTTAGAAACTACCAGGTAACACAAACACTCGAGCATTATATTGAAGTTAAACTTGATTTTGGTTAAGCTTAATTTTGGATTTATAAAATAATTATTAGTTATTAGATTAGACCCAAAATTAAGCCCAAGTTCTAGAATCTTTAGAAACATCACTAAAAATCATCATCTTTCTTAAGTGTTCTATATAATTCTATTAGTTAAATATCTAGATAATTGTATAGATAATTCTAGATGTTGTAGTTAAAAATCTAGATATTATTATAGAGAATTCTAGAGATTAGGAGAATGTTTGTAAGATATTTTACAATAAGTGGAGCCTATAAATAGCCCACTACTCAATCATTTGTAAATGAGAAGTTGAACAAATAAAGAAAGAGTGTTCTTCATAAGTTCTCTTATTCTCTCTAAAGTTCTTTCAAGTTTTCTCTAAGTGTTCTTTCATCTTTTTATTCATACTTAGAGGGTCTTTGTTTCTTTCGGGTCTCTCGGGTATTACGGTCTTGGGCTAGTGCTAAGCATTATCAGTTTTTTCTTTACATGGTATCAGAGCCATTCTGATCTGGTTCTTTTCAATATCAGATTAATTGAGATCTCAGATTCATTCTAAGTATGGAGTCAATGGGTCGCATTGTTGGATTGGGAATGGAGATTCTAAACCAATCTAATTACTGGTAATGGAAGTCATGCATGGAGTCATACTTGGTGAGTGAGGACTTATGGGATGTCGTCGGTGGCAGTAGCACAACACCACCAAGGGGAGCTGCTGCGACAGCGGAAGCGACAAAGGAGTGGACACAGAAGAATGCCAAGGCGGAGTTTGCATTGAAGAGGTCAATATCCTCGGGAGTCTTTGAACATGTCTCAAGTTGCACATCCGCTAGTTCCATTTGGCAGGCGTTAGATCAGTTGTTCAACAAGAAGAATGAAGCTCGGCTACAACTGTTAGAGAACGAGCTAGCGAATGCAAAGCAGGAGGAGCTTCAATCTCAGAGTTTTTCATCAAGGTAAAGAATCTTTGCTCTGAGATTAATACTCTAAATCTGGAGGAGTTGATTTCGGAAGCACGTTTAAAACGGTATATTATTCGAGGTCTACGACCCGAGTATACACCGTTTGTGACTTCGGTTCAAGGATGGGCTACACAACCTTCCTTGGAGGAGTTCAAAAATCTGCTAGCTTCGCAAGAGTCATTAGCTACGCAAATGGCAGGAGTCAAAATCCATGATGACTCGGGGAGCATCTTTGTAGCTCGGAAGCAACAGAACTTCAAAGCTAAATCTATGTACGATGGTGCAAAGAACATCGATGGACCGGAAGGATCTTCTACAGGAGATAAGAAGTGATTCAAGTGCTACCGGTGTGGAAAGCTTGGGCACTTCAAAAAGGATTTTCGAGTCAAGCTAAAGGAGACAAATATTGCAGAATCAAAAGGTCATATTGAAGACGAAGAATGGGGGAAATGCTTCACGGTGGAGGCTGCATCTTCAGGTATATCCACAACTAAAAATCTTGGAAATGATTGGATTGTGGATTCGGGTTGTAGCCACCATATTACTGGAGACGAGAAGCTATTTTCTAGTCTTCAGCGCCATGACGGAAAAGAAGCCATAATTACCGCGGATAATTCAGTTCACCGGGTCGAGAAGGAAGGGACTGTTGTCATTGAAGGAGATGATGGAAGTCCTATCACTCTCAAGAATGTATACCATGTCCCTGGAGTAAGAAAGAACCTTCTCTCTGTGGTGAATGCAGTAGACTCAGGTAACTACGTTTTATTTGGCCCAAGAGACGTCAAATTATTGAAGAATATTAAAGAGATAAAGGCGGATGTGGTTCACACCGGATCGCGGGTTAAGGATCTATATGTCTTATCTGCGTCCAACTCATACGTGGAAAAGATGAGTACAAACGACAATGCCTCTATATGGCATGCTCGGCTTGGTCATATAAACATGACTAAGCTAAAGGTTATGGTGAATAAGGAGTTGGTAAATGGGCTTCTGAAGCTGAAGATCCAAAATGAAGGAAAGCTTTGTGAAGGTTGTCATTATGGAAAATCACATAGACTTCCATTTGACAATTCTACTTCACGGTGCAGTGCTCCGTTGGAGAGGATCCATAGTGATTTGATGGGTCCTACAAGAACATCCTCATATTATGGGTTTCGGTACATGCTATTGTTCATTGATGACTTCTCACGGCACACTTGGGTATACTTTGTGAAGGAAAAATCTGAAGTATTCTCCAAGTTTCAAGAATTCAAGGTTACCGTGGAAGGAGAGCTGGGTCGGAAAATCAAGACCTTAAGGACGGATAATGAAGGGGAGTTCATGTCCAATGAGTTTCTCTCTTTTTGTCAAAAGCATGGAATAAAGAGAGAGTTTACTTGTCCGTATACACCTCAACAAAATGGAGTAGCGGAAAGGAAGATCCGACATCTAACTGAGACGTGCAGAAGCTGGCTATATGGGAAAGATCTGCCTAAGGCCTTATGGGCGGAAGGCATGAGATGCACAGCGTACGTTATAAATCGGATGCCACTCAGCCCAAATAACATGAAGTCTCCTTATGAGATGATTCATGGGAAGAAGCCGCCAGTGAAACATCTCAGGATATTTGGATCAGTCTGCTACGTCCATGTGTTCGATTCTCAAAGAACCAAGTTGGAGGCAAAGGCGAAGAAGTGCATCTTCGTTGGCTATGACGAACAAAGAAAAGGGTGGAGGTGTATGGATCTAGAGACACACAGGTACATAGTGTCTCGAGATGTTATTTTTGATGAAGTTTCCTCATTCTATGGGCCACCTCAAGTCTTAGTTGAGCAAGAAGGTGGGAGTTCCTCCAAGAGTGATAAACCAGCTCTGAGTAAGGAAAAAGGTCCTGAAGAAGAGATGCAAGGTGAAAGGGGGAGCACTGAGCAAGAGGAAGATGAGGAGGAACATCATGGTTCCACGGCTAGTCAAAGGCCTAAAAGGGACATCATTAAACCTGCTCGGTTCAGAGATCCAAAATTCGTTACTACCTTCTCATGCTACTTTACAGCTCCATTAGATGAAGATGAGCCAACATCTTATGATGAAGCAAAAGGTGTTGACGAGTGGGAAAATGCAATGAAGGAGGAGATGAATGCTCTCATGAAGAACGAAACTTGGGATTTGGTTCCAAAACCCAAGGATGCCCAACCTGTTTCTTGTAAGTGGGTGTACCGGATCAAGCGCAAAACAGATGGAAGCGTTGATAGATTCAAGGCAAGGTTGGTTGCTCGGGGATTCTCTCAAAAGTATGGAGAAGACTATGATGAGACCTTCAGCCCTGTAGCCAAGATGACTATGGTACGTTCTTTCTTATCTTTGGCTGCAAGTTTTGGTTGGAAGTTATGGCAATTAGACGTGAAGAATGCTTTTCTATATGGAGAGCTTGACAAGGAAATCCTGATGGAGCAACCACTTGGTTTCATATCACGAGAGCATCCTGATTATGTGTGTAAGCTGAAGAAGGCCTTGTATGGGTTAAAACAAGCTCCACGAGCCTGGTATGGAAAGCTTGCTCAGTTTCTTAAGTTCTGCGGTTATGTGGCATCAAACTCTGATCCAAGTCTATTCTTCAAGAAGAATGGAGGAGTCCACATGGTAGTTCTCCTTTACGTAGATGATATGATAATTACCGGGAATGATGATGCAGAAATTGCTCGTTTACAAGAGGATATGTCGATAAAGTTTGAGATGAAGAAGTTGGGAGAGCTCAACAACTTTCTCGGTTTGGAGGTGGAAAGGGTAAAGGATGGAATATTCATCGGCCAACAAAGCTATGCAAGAAGAATTGTTGAGAAGTTTGGAGTACACGAAGGAAAGACACGCTCTACTCCAATGGACGTCAACATAAAGCTTAAACGCGATGAAGGGTCCTTGTTACCTGATCCTCGGCCTTATCGCTCTCTTGTAGGAAGTCTTTTATACTTAACCATTACAAGACCTGACATTGCCTTCGCGGTAGGTCTTGTAAGTCGGTTTATGCAGGCACCAAGGAAGCCACATCTAGAAGCGGCAAAGAAGATATTGAAGTATGTGAAGACAACTCTTGGCATGGGTCTGGTGTACAAGTATAATGCCAAGGTCTCTCTTTATGGCTTCACGGATGCTGACTTTGGTGGAGATCTTGATGATCGGAAATGAACTTCAGGCTATGTGTTCCTATGTGGGGACACAAGTGTCTCATGGTGCAGTAAAAAGCAAGCAACGGTGTCGTTATCTACAACTGAAGCAGAGTATAAAGCTTCAACTCTAGCAGCTCAAGAGTGTACCTGGCTTCGGAGACTCGTTGAAGATCTGTTCGAGCCAATCAATAAGCCAGTTGCAATTTATGGAGATAATCAAAGTGCGATCAAGCTGGCCAATAATCCGGTGTTCCATGGGAGGACTAAACACATTGAGTTAGAGCATCACTTCATAAGGGAGAAGGTGCTTGATGGGACAATTGAAGCTTTGGAAGTTCGAAGCGAGGACAACGTTGCGGATATCTTCACCAAGTCATTACCAAAAGGTCAGTTCGAGTTACTTCGCTCGAAGCTCGGGATGGCTGACAAAATCAAGTTTAAGGGGGAGTATTGAAGTTAAACTTGATTTTGGGTTAAGCTTAATTTTGGGTTTATAAAATAATTATTAGTTATTAGATTATGCCCAAAATTAAGCCCAAGTTCTAGAATCTCTAGAAACATCACTAAAAATCATCATCTTTCTTAAGTGTTCTAGAGAATTCTATTAGTTAAATATCTAGATAATTGTATAGATAATTCTAGATATTGTAGTTAAAAATATAGATATTATTGTAGAGAATTCTACAGATTAGGAGAATGTTTGTAAGATATTTTGTAATAAGTGGAGCCCATAAATAACCCACTACTCCATCATTTGTAAATGAGAAGTTGAACAAATAAAGAAAGAGTGTTCTTCATAAGTTCTCTTATTCTCTCTAAAGTTCTTTCAAGTTTTCTCTAAGTATTCTTTTAACTTTTTATTCATACTTAGAGGGTCTTTATTTCTTTCGAGTCTCTCGAATATTACGGTCTTGGGCTAGTACTAAGCACTATTCGGTGTTTTCTCTACACATTAATCAGAAATAAAGCCATGCTTCTTCCTTCAACGTCACTCAACACAAGCGTTTCTGCAACATTTTCAGGTAGTTTTCTCACGTCCGGGGAACATTTCTGCATTTGGGGATCCATTCCAAAGTTTCACTTCTGCACACACAAAACAAGAGTAGATGAATCATTTTCTTGTGTGGTTTCCTTTTAAAGTTCCATTGTTTGTTGTGTGCCAAAAGTATTTGTACTGTAGAAAGAACTGCTTTCACAATTGATTTTGCATTACGAATAAAATTAGAACACGACCATATATCAATATATCCCTTCTATAAACAATTCCATGAGCCTTCAATGGAACAATGATTCGCTTCGACTAGGACCCTTAAATAACCTTTCTACAACATATAGCACCTATTTCTTGAGAGGTTACAACTTAGAAGTTACAAAAACGCTCTCAGGCCCCTCAATCTCTCTGCGTAGCTTCCTCTCTTACAAATATATCTCTGAAAGCCCAATGGTCACAAATTTTCCAGAGAAACGAATATGTCCACGTCCATCTCTCTACGACGGAATACTGAGGTGTGTTCATAAGAGTAGTAAAAGAAATCTACTTTGTTAAAGAGAGTTGCAGTTCAGTTAATTTTAAGAAAATGATATTATGGTTTTTCAACCAGATAAAACTAAAAGTATGTCAATTGCTGAGAGTGCCTGTTTTTGTAATATCAATTTAGAAAAATGTTTCGGAGCGTAAAAAACTTGCAGATATTCGAAAATTTGAAAGGGAGTCAAACACGGTTTACACGTGTGAACTTCCATACTCAAACAGAACACAACTCGATTGCCATACAAGTAAATAATAGATTATATAAATCACAAGAAAAGCACACATAAATATATGTTTTGGGTATCTCTCTAGATATCATATTTGTCATGCAGGTTACACGTGTTTCATCCATTTCACAGTTCCATCATCGTTGCAAAACAATTTCATGGTCCCTTGTTTTAATGTCTAATTATATAAATAATTCACAACGTTAGCCGAGAAGCTTTACGATGAGAGCAGACTAAGTTCAGGTTTCATAACAGAATACATATTCCCAGGTGGATGTATTCCTTCTTTAGCCAGAGTTACGTCACTATGTCACCTTCCTCAAGGCTATGGTAAAATCTTTTGTTTATGATCAGAGTTTAGCTTCTAGGGGAATTTCTAACCTTTCTTTTCCTATTTCTTGTCTAACACTCAAAGAACAAATACAGCATTGAAAACGTTGAGAACATTGGGATTCAAAACTACCAAACGTTGAGATGCTGGAGGAAGAGCTTCTTAGAAAAAGAGAAGTAAGATAAATACTAAAACAATGTTTGTTTGTTTATATGTCCAAGAAAACTTACTATCATCTATGCAGGCAAATCATGGATCTTAGATTTGATGAAAAATTCGTAACTAAGGACATGGGAATATTATTTCGACTATGGTGCAGCTGGTTTCAAGACTCTTACCCTTAGAAATTACCAGGTATCACAAACACTCGAGCATTAACACTTGCTTCTTCCCTCAGTGTCACTTTACAGAAACATAGATATGAATAATATTAATTCAGACTATGTGCACAAGCACAAGGTCAAGGTCCTGTTAATTGCAAGATATGGTGACTCCTCTAACCGAGAAAAAACCTCGGTTCTTCTTTACTAAAAGATTTTTGTGACTTTTTTTCATTTTCATATCAACCGGTTGTGTAACGTGAGTCCCCTCCTCTGTGTTGATATGTATTTTTCATTATTTTATTCCTATCAGAAGCGTGACAGCAAGTGAATATTTCTAAGAACTACATATTGAAAATTTAGTTTCAACTTTGAATAGTACCGAAATTGACATAACTCCTAACGTCGACCTTGACACACGTAGGATCATCAAATATTTTAAAACTTGTTGTTCATGAATTGACATAACTCCAACTGAATATTTCTATATAGGAAGCTGCATAAAGAAATTTAGTTTCAACTTTGAATAGTACCGAAATTGACATAACTCTTAACATTGATTCATGACGTACGTAGGATAGTTTAATATTTTAAAACTTGTCGTTCATGAATCATGAGTTGCGTGAAACTATAGCCAACCCAAATTTTAAAATCCATTAAAAGAAACATTGGATTGTGGCGAATATCAAACCTACTCCGAATTCCGTAGACTTTCTCTTATCCTTAATTAGAATGAGAATCACGTTATCTATAATCTATCTGTAATTATTTTGTCAAAAGTCTTGTTATAAAAGTCAAATGAAATGTCTCTCTAGACACGCCATTAGCTTCTGGTTTATTTATATACAAGTGAAATGTATTGTTGCGTCGAGAAATATTCATCTTTAGATCAAATCCACTTTGTGCCAAAGGTAAAGGTATTTTTCTTATCTACATAGTACTTTATAATGATTCATTCTATCGTCGATCTTTGTCCAAGAATTTCAAAAAACAATTTGCTTTTGGAATGGAAAAAACCTAGATTTCGTATCGATTTTCATTCGGTTCATTTCGTTGAGCTTCTTGTAGGTTATGGTTAAAGTCATTGATTATTCTATATGATAAAACAAATTCGTTACTCTTCTTGATTAGTATTTTTCTTTGTAAATTGAAAGTTTGTGAATATTATGTCAGGCTGGTATGGCGGCTTCACAAGATTTGGTTACTCCTCTGAGTAAACCGAAACAGATGGAACTTTCTCTAACCGAGAAAGGAGCTAGGTCTTTCTTTACAAGATTCTTGAGACAGTTCATATCAACTGGTTCTATTACGTGAGCCTCCTTCCTCATATTTTGTTCGTTAGTTTCTTTGAATGTTACATTTACTTATTAATTACCAGACCCTAACAGAATACTCGAAGAAGGAGAAACAGTGTTCACTTTCGAAGGAAATGATTCGATATGTCGCTTGAAAACTGTCTTAGAGATTCACAGTCCTCAGTTTTACTGGAAGGTTAGATGTTATAAAGTGCTCTTTGAATCAGTAAAAAATGTTTGTTCTGAAGCTCACTAGATTATTCTTTTCCCCACAGGTTATGACACAGGCAGATTTAGGACTTGCTGATGCTTATATCAATGGTGATTTTTCTTTTGTCGATAAGGAGACAGGACTTTTGAATCTGATCACTGTATGAGACATATACACTTACTCAAACATAGAGATTGAGTTTAGACAGTTTGTGATATATATCTGCTTGATCTTGAAAACTTGCAGATTCTCATTGCCAACAGAGAATTGAACTCAGAGAAATCAAATCTTGCTAAGAAAAGGTGAAGTTTCTTCAAACTTTCATCCAAGTTATCATACTGTAAGCTTTCACTTGTCCCATTAGGTTTTTTTTTTTTTTTTTTTTTTCATTTTTCAGGGGATTGTGGATACCCATGTTTCTACGTGCTGGTTTAGCATCTGCAAACTATTTTCTAAAGCTTGTTTTTAAGCAGAACACCTTAACTCAAGCTCGTAGGAACATTTCGCGTCACTATGACCTTGTAAGTGTTCTTATGCCCACATCCTTTTCTGTCTCAACCACGAACGTTATGTGTTTTGAGTTTTTGATTTGCTTCATCATTGGCTAATCTTGCAGAGTAATGAGCTCTTTGCTTTATTCTTGGATGATACCATGAGTTATTCCGCTGCGGTATTCAAGGTGACAATAAGATCTCCTCACTCTTTTGTTTTGCTTTTCTTTTGTGACTTTTGACTTTAATCTTTTGTCGTTCCACACGTTTATAGTCAGATGATGAAGATCTCAAGACTGCACAAATGAGAAAAGTCCATCTCCTCATTGATAAGGTAACATCTATGTAGAAGGGCATTTTCTTGATTTAGAACAGGAACCTTTCATTCTCTCTTCTCTTTTCTTACTTGAACATTTTCTTGAGTTTCAGGCGAGGATAGAGAAGAACCATGAGGTTTTAGAGATTGGATTCGGATGGGGGACTTTGGCAATGGAAGTAGTAAGAAGAACCGGATGCAAGTACACCGGCATTACACTATCTAGTGAGCAACTTAAATACGCAGAAGCAAAAGTGAAAGAAGCTGGACTTGAGGTTTGCATTGATCCATCTTTGGATCTTGGTTTCTTATTTCTAAGGGTGTGACTAACAATACGACTTATAAATTTCCAGGACAGGATTACGTTTAAGATCTGCGATTATCGCCAACTATCTGGTGCTAAAAAATATGACAGGATTATAACTTGGTAAATCTCATATCTCTTGTATATATAAATATATGTACTGTCTTGTGAGTCTATAACATAACGTTTTCGATGTTTCAGTGAGATGATGGAACATGTTGGCCATGAATTCATGGAAACATTCTTCAGCCACTGTGATGCTGCGCTTGCAGATGATGGTGTAATTGTCCATCAGGTAACGCTTTATTCTTACCTCATTCAAGCATCTCATGTTTGCACAACCGTTGATTCCTCTTTTACTGTTTTAACTGTTATAACAGTTCATAACGATACCAGAGCAGCGTTACAATGAGTACAGACTAAATTCAGATTTCGTCAAAGAATACATATTTCCAGGTGGATGCCTTCCTTCTTTAGCTAGAGTTGTTTCAGCTATGGCATCTTCTTCTAAGTTATGGTAAAAAAAATTTGTTCATCAGAATTTAGCTTCAAGGGGTTCCTCTGCTTTTGTTTTTTCCTATTACTTGTCTAACACTCAAACAAAACACAGCATTGAAAACGTTGAGAACATTGGGAACCAGTACTACCAAACGTTGAGATGCTGGAGGAAGAACTTCTTGGGGAACAAAAGGTAAAGCTAAATACTTAAATTATTTCCTCTGTTTTCTGTTTTGAATTTTCTATGTCAAAAACGAAAAACCATACTATTTGTACAGACAAATCATGGATCTTGGATTCGACGATAAATTCATTAGGACATGGGAATATTATTTCGACTATTCTGCAGCTGGTTTGAAGACTCTTACCCTTGGAGATTACCAGGTAACACAAAACACTCGAGCACTAACCAGAAACACAAACATACTTCTTCTTCCCTCAATGTCACTCTAACATAGACTTTCAATAACTGTAACATTTCAGGTAGTTTTCTCACGTCCGGGGAACGTTGCTGCATTTGGGGATCCACTCCGTAGTTTCCCTTCTGCTCTGACAAAACAAGAGTAGATGAATCATTTCTTGTGTTGTTTTCTTTAAAAGCTCCATTGTTTGTTGTGTGCTAACGTATTTGTACTGTCGAAAGAATTGCTGTCACGATTGACTCTGCTTTATGTATAAAAAAAAGGTATGGTTCGTCATACGTACTATGCATGGATTCTTGATAAAGTGTTTTTATCTGCCTCTTCTTCACTTTGAGCAACAACGATCAGCGTTGACTTTCAAAACTTTTTCATCTTAATCCTCTTATGCATCTTTCTCACCCCTCGTTTACTCTCTCTTCTTCAAGAAACCAAAAGACACACTGTGACACCCCGATTTCCGTACAAGACCAAACCGGCTATGCCCAGATGCCTTATCCTTTCACAAGTACTAGGTGATCATTCAATAACAAACAGGAGATCCAAACAGCATTCAAACAATCATAGCGTGTTAAACAAGCAATTAGGGTTCGTTCTATCTCTCATAACTTCCGTATTCAAAGCCCTAGACACCCCTAAGTGAACATTCATCAGACTTATTAATTCAGACCTAGCTAGGACTTAGTTTTAAAGCAGAAGGTTTAACTCAAAACTAGGCGTAACAGAAAAACTAAAGAACAGGAACAAGCCTGAATAAATTCATCCTCACGTTGGCCTTAATAACACAACGATTTGGGGAAAGAGAGAAGGGAATTCGTTGGTGTAGACATCGTGGCGGCTTGGAGACGACGAATAGCTGAACGGCTGAACGTGCGTGGTTGAAGAGCTTCAAATGCCTCACCGGAATCGCAGCAGCTCGTCGGGACGCTATGGTGGCGCCAAGGAGAGAGAGGGACGTCCAAGGAAGGAGGAGAGAGAGACGGTGGAGAGAGAGCAAAACATCTAGAGGAAAAGAAGAGAGAGAGTAGGGTTTCTCTGTTTTTCTGAAACTTTCAGAATAAAGAAAATGAGGAAAATCTCTCTATTTATACCTAATCATAAGTATGGTTTCTAATACTTATGATTAACAATATTTCTTCTGAATCGCCAGGAGCGGATTACGTTTGAGCTTTGCGATTATCGCTAACTATCTCATGCTCACAAATATGACAGAATTATAGCTTGGTAAAACCTTTTTTAATATATATTTTGTCCCTCTTTCTCAAACTGTCTTATGACAAAACATGTTTGGATGTTTCAGCGAGATGATAGAAGCTGTCGGCCACGAGTTTTATGAGACGTTTCTTCAGCTGTTGTGAAGCTGCGCTTGCACAAGACGGTATATATGTCATGCAGGTAACACTTGCTTCTTCCATTTCGCAGTTCCATCATCGTTGCAAAACAATTTGATGATTGTTTTAATGTCTAACCATATAAACAGTTCATCACAGCGTTACCCGAGAAGCTTTACGATGAGAGCAGACAAAGTTCAGGTTTCATAACAGAATACATATTTGATATTCCCAAGTGGATGTCTTCCTTCTTTAGCCAGAGTTACTTCAGCTATGTCATCCACCTCAAGGCTATGGTAAAATCTTTTGTTTATCAGAGTCCTGAGGTAATTCATCTGCTTTCTTTCTACTACTTGTCTGCCACTCAAACAATCACAGTATTGAAAACGTTGAGAACATTGGGATTCATTACTACCAAACGTTGAGATACTGGAAGGAAGAGCTTCTTGGAAAAGGAAGAGTAAGATAAATATTATAAAACCTTTCTCTTCGTTTTCTTTTCATGCCATTATGTTTTTGTTAGAGCATCATCAACCTTACTCCATTTTCAATTTCAAATGCTATTTTGGAGTAAAATCCTCTCCAACTCTACTCTATTTTCAACTCCAAAATAGAGTAAACCTAAATTTTACTCCATATTTAGAGTAGATCTAAACTCTACTCCATTTTGGAGTTAGACTTTTTTTATTTGTAAATTAATCTTTTATATTTAAAATAAATATATTTTGTACTATTTAATATTTATAAAAAAAATTATAAAACTGATAATTATGAATATTTAAACACTGTAATTATTCCTAAAAAATTACAAAATATAATAAACTTAAAAAATACATAATAAGTGCTGAAATTAAGATAAACAATATAAATAAATTTAAGACAATAAATACTAAAAACATTAATGATAAAATTTTTAGTAATTGTAATGTTTAAATAAAAATTGCATATACTTTTGTGATGTTATGTAATTTTTATTATTTGATAAATATTTAAGTTATAGTTTTTGAAAGAAATTATAAATAATAAAATAAGTGGGATTTATTTATAAATTTTAAAACCAAAAAATATTTATAGTAAAATCGAATAAGAATTTATTTAGAATATTCCTTTTTAAAGTAGAAAATAGAAAAATACAATGGAGCAAAACACAACTCTATTTTGGAGTAGAAAATGAAGAAATATATTGGAGATGGTCTTAGCTTATATGTCTAATAAAACTAACTATCATCTGTCCAGACAAATCATGGATATTGGATTCGACGACAAATTCATAAGAACGTGGGAATATTATTTCGACTATTGTGCAGATGGTTTCAAGACTCTTACCCTTAGAAATTACCTGGTAACACAACACTCGAACATTAACACTTGCTTCTTCCCTCAGTGTCATTCTACAGAAACATCGATATGAATATTTTTTAAGCGTTTCTCCAACATTGCAGGTAGTTTTCTCACGCATGGGGAACGTTTCTGCATTCCGGGATCTATTAGTAATGGACCTAACTCACACTCAAAAGCTAGTTAAAGAGTAGAGGGTTGTCTCACCCTATATATATTGTCCACAAATCTTTCAAACTTCCGATGTGGGACAATTCCAACAGGATCCATTCCATAGCTTCTCTTCTGCTCACAAAAACATGAGTAGAATAGTAGATTAATCATCTTGTCTAATTTCCCTGATATTCATCCCGAAACAGTTTTATTCTTGAAGGCTTTGAGTTGTATATAGTACAGATAAACAAACACCATATAAGTATTACAATGTTGCAGCTTAAAATAAGGCGCAGATATATGTCACATTGGATACAAGTCATGCAAAGAAGTTCAATAAAAAGGCCTTAATATATAAAAAAAAAATATAACGTGCAATAAAGTTTTACATGGTTGGGTCCTATTCAAATATGTTTCAGAAATATTAGAAGGAAACATTGTAAATTCTTGATGGAAAAAAGGCTTTGAGCTTCAAATATACCATACTACTGGTGACAAAACTCAAAGGTTTTTTTTTGAAACACGGGGCAAATGAAGCAATCGAACATGATCCGATTTAAATACGAACATGTCTTTAAGATAAAATTAATTGTATTTATAAAGTAGAGCCTAGATTGTTTTTACCAAAAGTATATTTTTATTATACAAAATAGATTATATATACATTTTTATTCATAATTTGAACATGGTGGTCTATCGATAGTTTGAATTTGGAAACGGTACTAGATAAAAAAATAAATTGTAATTATTCTAGTGAAATTATATGATTTTGTGAGAAATTGCGCGTAATCCTCTATCTATTAATTGACAATGTAGTTTAATGAAATATGCTGATTTGTTTTAATTTCATTGGTTAAAAACATCAATCTAATATAATTAAATATGACATGTAAATAATGATGTGTAATGATGATGTAATTGTGACATGGTAATTGCTAACACATGTGGATTATGACATGGCAAAAAAAAAGTTATGTGTTTAATTTATTTTAGTTCAAATAATTATTTTATGAAAACTGAAAAATATAAAATATTTAATTATTAATATAAATTGTAAACCATCATTTTTTTATCACATGCACAAAACATATGTTATATTTTTTTTATTACATGCACAGATTTGTACACGTTAAATTGTATAAAAATTATATCTTCATCACATGCATCGACTATATAATCTAAAGTAACATTAATCTAACAATTAATGTTTAACTAAAGAACTCATTTATGTTGTCCACACAAAACAGAAGCTAAAAAAATATACAAAGAGAAGTAGAGTATACCACATTTTGTTAACCGAAGTATGATTATCTACTTTTAACAATCTTCTTGAGATTGTCTTTCTGCAATATAATCCAAAGTAACATTAATTGTATAAAAAATTATGAGAGTTGTCTTCATCACTTGCACCGACTATATAATTCAAAGTAACATTAACCTAACAATATTTAACTAAAGAGTCCATTTTTGTTGTCTACACGAAACAAAAGCTAAACAAATATACAAATAGAAGTTGGAATATATTTAAGTTCAAATAATTTTTTGTGTTTAATTTATTTTAGTTCAAATATTTGTTTTATACAAAGAAGTCTTTGAGAATTTAGAGGCTAAATAACTAGATAAACTGAGGAAGATTAATTGAAGACGAAGAAGATGATAAAATTTGCAGGTATGTATGTCTGACCCGCAAATCTGCAGCAGGTAATCCGCTTAACTAGTTATCCACGGGTCTGACCCATTTGGCCATTTAACATAATAAAATGGGTCTTTTGTTATAATAAAATGTTTAGTTAAAATTATACCATATATTGCTATTAGGGCCTATAATTTAATTATTAATTAAAATATTTATAATGATTTAGATATTTTATTTATGTAATTAAATTTTTACAACTGTTTATGTCTGCACATGCGTGTGGGCCAAACTCCTAGTATGTTTTAAACCGAATAAGGAGATTAAAAAGGTAATTTGACTTGAGTGGCTAAGATTTAACGAGTCAAATGAATCAATAGTTTTTGGTTGATCAATGTGGGTTATTACTGCATGCCTAATCTATATGTGTCTTTGTGCATGATTCCCTAAATGCAGTCTGGCACTTGGTGGATCCTAAAGTAACACCTAAGCTACATTTAGTGCATCTAGTAACTTGAGAGGTTTCTTTACTATTCAGACTTTGTGCACAAGGTTCCTCCTCTAACCGAGAATGGGACTAGAGATTCTTGAGACATTTCATATCAACCGGTTGTGTAATGTGAATCCCCTCCTCTCTTTTTGTTTTTACTTTCTTTAACGTAACCATTTTATTAAAAAGGTAACATGCCATGACACAAAGTCATACAGATCAATACAAATTAGGATAAACTTTAGGGTAGCACAAATGCACCACATACAATCGAATCTTCCGCTTCGATCGACTTCAAAATAATATTGATGGAGGCATCTAGCCACCCCTCCTCCTTTTGAAATGCACTGCTTCATATTTCTGTCATTAGTTTATTTAAAATAATATTGCTAAGAACAGCATAATTTTATGCTTAAATATTACCGAAATTGACATATCTCCTAAAATCGATCCATGATAGTTGTTGTTCATGAATCATGAGTTGCGTGAAACTATATCCATACCATAGTTTAAAAACCATTGGATTATGGCGAATATCAGGCTTATCCCGGATTCCATGGCCTTTCTTCTTGACCTTAACTAGAATGAGAATCACGTTATCGATCTGTAATTATTATGTCAAATACTTGTTATACAAGTCATAAAATGAAATGTCTCTCTGGACACGCCTTAAGCTTCGGGCTTATTTATATATAAGTGAAATGTAATGTTGGTTCGAGAAATCCCAATCTTTAGATCAAATCCTCTTTGTGCCAAAGGCAATGGTACTTTTCTAATCTAAATGGGTACTTCATAATTCATATTGATTCACTCTATAGTCCATTTATGTCCACGAATATTTTTTTAAAAAAATAGTTTTTGAATAGGAAAAAGCCTAGATTTTGTATCCCTTTCAATATTTATTTGGTTCATTTCGTTTACCTTCTTGTTGGTTATGACTAATGTCTTTGATTATTCGCGTGAATCAAAATCGTTACTCTTCTTGATGAGTATTTCTTTTTGTAAATTGAAAGTTTGTTAATATTATTTGTCAGATTGGTATGGCGGCTGCACAAGGTTTGTTAGGGAAAGACAAAGACATGGTTACTCCTCCGAGTAAACCAAAACGCATGGAACCATCTCTAACCGAGAAAGGAGCTAGGTCTTTCTTTACAAGATTCTTGAGACATTTCATATCAACTGGCTCTATAACGTGAGCCTTCTTCCTCATACTTTTGTCATTAGTTTCTTGGAATGTTACATTTACTTATTAGTTTGATTCTAACAGAATACTTGAAGAAGGAGAAACAGTGCTCACTTTCGAAGGAAATGATTCAAGATGTCGCTTAAAATCTGTCTTAGAGATTCACAGTCCTCAGTTTTACTGGAAGGTTAGATGTTACTAAGTGATCTTTGTTGAATCAGTAAAAATTGTTTGTTCTGAATCTCACATGATTATTCTTTTTCTAAAAGGTTATGACACAGGCAGATTTAGGACTTGCTGATGCTTATACCAATGGAGATTTTTCGTTTGTCGATAAGGAAACAGGACTTTTAAATCTGATCATGGTATGGTACATAGATAGACTTAACTGAAGCATAGAGATTGAGTTTAAACAGTTTGTGATATACTTGATCATGAAAACTTGCAGATTCTCATTGCTAACAGAGAAATGAACTCACAGAAATCAAATCTTGCTAAGAAAAGGTGAAGGTTTTTTCAAACTTTCAACTAGGTTATTATATTGTAAGCTTTCACGTGTCCCATTATGTTCTTTTTTTTTTTCATTTTTCAGGGGATGGTGGACACCGATGTTTCTAAGTGCTGGTTTAGCATCTACAAAGTATTTTATGAAGCATGCCTTTAGACAGAACACTTTAACTCAAACTCGAAGGAACATTTCTCGTCACTATGACCTTGTAAGTGCTCTTATGTCCACCATCCTTTCTGTCTCGAGATGAGCGTTTGCTAAGGGTTTTTGATTTGTTAATTTTGCAGAGTAATGAGCTCTTTGCTTTATTCTTGGATGATACCATGAGTTATTCCTCCGCGGTATTCAAGGTGACAATAAGATCTCCTCACTCCTTTGTTTTGCTTTTCTTTTATGACTCTTGACTCTAATCTTTTGCTGTTTCACACGTTTATAGTCAGATGATGAGGATCTGATGACTGCACAAATGAGAAAAATCTCTCTCCTCATTGATAAGGTAACATCTATAGAAGGCATTTTCTTGATCTAGAACAAGAAACCTGGTTTTTTTCTCTTTTCTTGAATATATTCATAACGGAGATTTCAGGCAAGAGTAGAGAAGAAGCATGAGGTTTTGGAGATTGGATGTGGATGGGGAACTTTGGCCATAGAAGTAGTGAGAAGAACTGGATGCAAATACACTGGCATTACACTATCTATTGAACAACTTAAATACGCACAAGCCAAAGTGAAAGAAGCTGGACTTGAGGTTTGCATTAATCCATCTATAGAGATCTTGGTTTCTTATTTTCCGAGTCTATGACTAATGATATAACTTCTGAAACCTCCAGGATAACATTAAGTTTGAGCTTTGCGATTATCGCCAACTATCTGATGCTCACAAATATGACAGGATAATATCTTGGTAATACCTTGTTTTTATCCATCTCTCATTTGTATAAATCTTTATTTTGTCTTATGAGTTTATGACATAACGTTCTGGATGTTTCAGCGAGATGATAGAACATGTTGGCCATGAATTCATGGAGACGTTCTTCAGCCATTGTGAAGCTGCACTCGCAGAAGATGGCATATTTGTCCTGCAGGTATCACTCTCATCTTATCTTACAGATGTTTATCTAGTCTCATGTTTGCGTAACCGTTGATTGTGTTTTAATGTTTAACTACCATAACAGTTCATATCGATACCGGAGGAGCGTTACAACGAGTACAGACTAAATTCAGATTTCATAAAAGAATACATATTTCCAGGTGGATGTCTTCCTTCTTTAGCTAGAGTTACTTCAGCTATGGCCTCTTCATCTAAGTTATGGTAAAAAAAACTTTTGTTTGTCAAAGACTAGCTTCAATGGCAATTTATCTACTTTAGTTTCCTCTTACTTGTCTAACACTCAATCAAATACAGCATTGAAAACGTTGAGAACATTGGGATTCATTACTACCAAACCTTGAGATGTTGGAGGAAGAACTTCTTGGAGAACAAAATGTAAAGCTAAATACTAAAAACATTTCCTCTGTTTTTTTCTGATTTGAATTTATATGTTTGCACTCATAAGTCAAAACGAAAAACCTACTATCTGTGCAGGCAAATCATGGCTCTTGGATTCGATGATCAATTCATAAGAACATGGGAATACTATTTCGACTATTGTGCAGGAGGTTTCAAGACTCTTACCCTTGGAGATTACCAGGTAACACAATCACTCAAAGCATTAACCAGAACACTCAAAGACATGCTTCTTCTTCTTCCTTCAATGTCACTCAACATAAGTCTTATTTGATTATTTCAGATAGTTTTCTCACGTCCAGGGAACACTGCTGCATTTGGGAATCCATTCCAAAGTTTCCCTTCTGCTCTGACAAAACAAGAGTATAGATGACATTATTGTTCCATTGTTTGTTGTGTGCCAAAGTATTTGTATTGTCGACAGAACGATTGATTCTGAACTATGTATGAACCAAGTACACGACCATATACATCAATATCCTTTCTACAAGGGTTTATAGCTTTTATTGTACTTACTGTTATTCAACATGAAACAGCTTTAAACCTCAGAGAGGGTGAAGTTGCATAGAGAGTACAGAGATAAAACAAAACACCATAAGTATTACAAATGTTACATTACATAAAGCTTAGAAATAAAGCTTTCATGGATATGTAAAAGGCTTTGCTTCTTACGTTTGTATCACTCGCTTGTACTTCCCCTGAGGTTTAGCCTTGAGACCATATTCTCCGTCCTCTGCGACAAAAAAACCATCATCGAATCATTCAAACATTTGCGAATGTATTGATTAATTTATACAGATTATTATATATATAAATGAAACACAAACCTGTTCGGAATGCGAAAGATATTTGCCATCAAGTGTCACGACCACTCGATTATTACCATCCACTCCTTTTACTTTGTCCACAGAGCAATAGAAATCTATCGCCGACATGCTATAAACACAGTAAACAACACACTACTTTTTAGGAACAATCAAATGAGCTAATAGCAGCAATCTTATTCGTTAATAGGAAACTACTAAACAGTAATATTAGTTACCTTCTAACTTCTTTACAAGGAACAATCTATACTAATTCAAGAAGCTAAACTATGCGCATTAATAAAGAGCCAACAGTGGCCTTATAGGGCAAAGTTTTTGGCTTATGAAGAAGCAAACCATGAAACAATGGACCAAAAATGCATGCAGAGAAACAAATAGAGCTTGTGGAAGCTGATCCTATAGCTATGAGCTAGTTGTTTAAGCTGCAATGGAATCAACAAACACAGTTTTGTATGCAACATCTGACTCGAAACATGGTCTGAGAAAATACCGAATTTTCCAATCACCCCTTAACATCTAAGTGTCGTTCTAGTTCAAATCTTAAAGTGTTGAATCGACTAGATTTTCCTAATTTTTACAAAGTGTATATATGATGATCATAGATATAACACCAGAGAAGGAACAGATATGTCGATAAAATCAAGAAACTTTCAGTTCAATACTCAGCATATGAATGAACAAGACAGAGAAAACGATTCTACTAAATCATGAAGTAACCATCAAAACTCCAGACTTTACATTCATATCTTCTACTTATATAAACTAATCCAATTCAACAACACATTGATAATCTCACAAATATTAAGCATAAATTTGTAAAATAACTTACATGCCGTCACCGAAATCTTCGTTGATAATCTCCTTTATACTCTCACCGAAATGCATCACTGCTTCATTCAACCTGACGAAAAAGATCAATTTTTAAAACCCAGAAATTAAAAAAAAAAATTGAAAAAAACCCCAAAATTAAATTCGAATCGAAACCTGTAGATGGTGGGTTCTTGGATGAGGTTGGGATCGTATGATCTCCACGGAGGTGACATCATCGCGCCGATGAGTTCGTCGGTCAGGGACGGTAAAGCTTCCCGGAGCTTCGGGACCGTATCGGGTTTGAGCTGGGCTTGGCGACGGAGAAGCTGGGCTACGTAGACGTTGGTGAGACCGGTCTCCGCCGCTAATTGGCTGTAAGTCTTGCCGGAGGCTGACTTCACGGCGAGAAGCTGATTTGTAACACTCTGCTTCGTCGCCGCTTCCATTTTTGACCAATCACTTGTTTTCTCACTTCCTTCGCTCTCTTCTTTAACGCTAATTATTTTTTATTAAGTTTGATTTTGTTTTTTTTCTGATAATACATTTGTCTGTCTTTGTTTGTCTGACATTTTTATAGACGAGTGTTTTTTGGAGCCCAACAAACATGATATAATTAAGAAGCCCAACGCAAACGAAAGATATAGACAAGTAAATCCAGACTTAGCCGGAAACAAATCCGAGAGAAAGCGAAAAGAAAAAGATAAAAAAAATGTTTAAGTTAGACTTTAATTAGAAAACATAAAAAAAAAAGTATTGAATTTGAAAACATATAGACTTTAATTTGGTTTAGATCGGTTTGGTCTGACTTTCTTTATTGACCAATTGATTTTAAGATATAAAATTGACTTTGTTTATTGACCAATTTTATATCTGACCAATTGATTTTAAAATATAAAATTAATATATGACAAAAAAAAGGAGTCTAATGACTAATCCTATATACATATACTAATTAATTACTCATGTCTAAAACCAGTTTCTTAAAGTTGTGCTTACCACTTTACACAATGACAAACTCTTTATAAAATGAGATTTATGAACAGTAAAATGAATCTTTTTTTTTAATCAAACATTTACTTGTATTAATTTAACAAAGTTTTTTCCTCAAATGAAAATGATACAACCGGCCACCAAGAGCCAAACATAGTAAAGCATTCACCCACACATTGGTAAAGCATAAAAAGTAAAAACAACAACAATAACTCAAATAGAAATAGAGGGATAAATGAGAGTTAACAAGCTTAACCAAGGATAAACAGAAGCTAACAAGTTCAACCGAAGCAACATCCAGACAAGAGAAAATTATGCTGTCTTGAACTAAACTATCAAGAGAAAGGAAACCACTAAGAGGAAGAAACACAGACTCCATAGTCGAGAAAGTGAAGCCGTCAACACTATTAAATACTGAACAAAAAACTAATAGCCTCATGACTTTTGTTCTAAACAGAATTATTTTCGATACAATGCTTCCTGAAACAATACCACTCAAATCAAATGAAATATGTGGAAGGAAAACAGACTTTATAGAGGAGAGATGATGACTGTAGAAGTCCAAAATCCGATTTAATGGAAAAAGGTTACTAAGACAATCATTCTTTCTAAACTCCCACTTAATAAAAGAACCTGAAACTTTTGTCAAATTGAAAACGAGACAAACCCCTGCATACTGCAGTAAAGAATCGTACTGAGGCGAAAAAGAATATATCCACACTCTATAACACAAGCGTTTCCCATCCAGTAAACAGCTGTTCCAAGACTGAAGAAACAGAGGATGAGGAGTAAGAGCAAACCTGGGGGGGCAATAATTAGTAGACTTGGTGATAATAAGAGTTTCCAAGTAATTTCATATACTAATTATTGTATTTTTCATTAGACTTGGTGACGGTCTTCTCCCTTAAAGTTGTTTACATATAAATCTTAGACCACGTCTTACTTTATAATCAGCTCATTTTTTTTATTCAAATTTATCAACTTCAAGATGTGTGTTATGTTATTATTTTCCGACTGAGACTTTGGTTTTTTTTTTGGTTTCATTGATGGGAGACTTTGACTTCTGTTATCATAGTCGAAAGTATAAAATTTTGTGAAAATTGACTTTAGTTTATGCCATGGTCAACAAGCGTATCCAAAATATATACTAGCCTGCTTCAATGGAAAACATTTGGGTAAAAATTTTTAATCAAATATAAATTTAGTGAGAGTACATTTCTTTGAATTCAAATGTTTTGAGAGAACAATATTGACTATAGCATACATATACAGTGAAATGGAACATCCTTGACTAAGTCCACACGCACTGACGCACTCGATAAATTTTTTTCTTCTTCCAAATCACCATCGTGAGAAACTGAAATTGTGGCTGTCGAAAATGTTAATCCAATGAATGAAGCATTCCGAGAAATTCATAGCATTTTGAACAATGACTATAAGGAACAATGACTATAAAGAATGATTTTAAATAAGAAAGAATGATTTTAAATAAGAAAGAATGATTTTATATATCAAATTTTTATTGCGAAACGGATTGTGTAGACTTGTGGCAATCCTAACCAACTCATGAATGGCCAAAAATGTTTTCTTTCCAAAAGGAATATTCCTTTAACAACGATCTCTGGTTCGGATCTATAGACTCGAAGATCTTTAAGCCAATGCAAATGGTATTACGGTAACAGCCAATTTTTCATGAAAAAATTATTTCATACCTATACACCTCACGACCATTTACATGGAAACTGTTACCTCACTAACTATTATAGTATTTTTTTCATGAAATAATTTTTTCAGCCAATTTTTCATGATCTTTATAGACATGACAGCCACAGACGGTGTACATATAACGGTAACAGCCATATGTTACAAAGCCAATGGCCCAATACTTAGCGCAAAGATGTGGAAATTATTTTTACATGGTAACATATGGGTCATATACATAAGAAGAGAATTTTGTTTTTTCTTTCAAAAGAAAGACAAGTTTAAACGTTTTTTCTTTCAAAAGAAAGACTAACTTTCAGCCAAGTGACAACAAACGGTATTACGGTAACAGCTACATGTTACAAAGCCAATGGCTCTTGAAAAAAATGGTTAAAATGTAACAAGTTTAAATGTTTCTTTAAATTTATGAATGTATAATATTTTCATATTTTTTAGATTTTTTTTTACGTACATATAGTATTTTCTTAACATTTTTTTTAGTTTATACGTAAATCAGTAAGGCTTTAAAAATAATGTATATAAACTCTTCCAAAAAGGGTTCTAACATTTTTAGAAGAGACTAGATATTTACCCGCGCTACGCTGCAGGATATTTTTCTAGATTTGTATATATTTTTAATATAATAAAATTATTTATATATTTTAAATGAGTATTATATTTATTTTTTATTAGCTTAAGTTATGTATTTATATGTTTTAAATCTGAATAAACATTATATATCATTAATTTTTTTATTTTTTTAAATTATAATCTACCATCAAATTTGTTTAGCTAGCTATCTATAAATGTATATGTAAGAATAAAACAATATATTTTTAAGTACCTTCAAGCTAATGGTAGATGTAATTTATTTTCTCTACTAAATTGCTACTTGATCATCCTTTAGCTAACTATCTATAAATGTATATGTAAGAATAAAACAATACATTTTTAAGTACATTCAAGCTAATGGTAGATGTAATTTATTTTCTCTACTAAATTGTTACTTGATCCTCCTTTGAAATTATATAAAGCAAATTGCTATTTTTAAAAAATATTAATTAATATGATTATTTTAAATTATAAAATTTATTTATTTATCAAATATTTATTATAGATATATATTTCTAAAACTACCAAACTATAATCAATAACATTCATATCAAAATCATTACTAATACTTTAGAACCAAATAGAAAGTTCTATTTGAACTGTTAAAATATCAATTTAGTTAAAATTAAATAATTCAATTTATGTTACTATAAACATATTATAACTTGAAAATTTAGCACAGAGAAATTTTATCTTCTTACAAAAACCGAGAAATTGCATTTTCCGACAAAACAAAAAAAAATTATTTACCACGAAACTGAAAAATCGCCTAGTCCCGCCAAAACCAAAAAAAATTATTTTCTCGTCAAACCTGAAATTTCATTTTCCTACCAAAACAAAGAAATTGCATTTTCTCTCAAAAACCAAAAAAATCACATTTTTCCGCGAGAACCTGTGTTTTTCCGTCAAAACAGAGAAATCAAGTTTTTTCACCAAAACAAAAAAAATTTATCTTCCTGCAAAAAAAAAAATAGTATTTTTCCGTCAAAACCAAAAAAATATTTTCCCGCAAAAATCGAGAAATCGTCTATTCCCACCAAAACAAGAAAAATTATTTTTCTCGTCAAATGAAGAATCACGCCTTCCTACCAAAACCGATAAACTACAATTTTCCGCAAAAACCAAAAATTGAATTATCTCCTGAGAAATTGTGTTTTACACGAAAACTAAGAAATCATATTTTCCTTCGAAAACCAAAAATCAAATTATATGTCAAAAACTGAAAATTTGCATTTCCCATCAAAACCAAAAAATTGTTTATTCCCTCCAAAATCGAGAAATTTTGCTTTTCTATCAACCCGAAAAATTGCATTTTCTGCCAAAATTGTAAATTACAATTTTTCGCAAAAATCAAGAAATTACATTATCCATCAAAAACTAAAAAATTGCATTTTCTATCAAAATCGAGAAATCGTATTTTTTGTCAAAATTGAAAAATTGCATTTCTCTCGCATTTTCTCGTCAAAATCAAATTTTTTATTTCTCACTAAAACCAAAAATTTACATTTTGCCGCCAAACCCGAGAATTCGTTTTTTTCCGCTATAACCGAGAAACTATGTTTTTCTATCAAAACTGAAAATCACATTTTTTCTACCAAACCAAGAAATTCTCTATTTTCGCCAAACCCAAGAAAATTTGTTCTCGATAACCAGTGGAAATGTGAATCTCGAAGCTGTGGTGGTCTGAGTTTTTCCTCATTTGCTTTCGTCTTCCATTTTTTTTGTAAACTTTGGGCTTTTTAATGGGTCAGCAAAATAATAAATTGATTTTATTAGTGTGTTAATAATATGTATTATTGTTATGTTTTTATTGGTTCAAATTTTTGCTGATATGTGAGCTTTTTATAACATAACGCTTTTTGCATTGTTGTTATGGAAGCATAGTTGATGATGAGTCTACACTTTCTTCAATCATATACGTCTCTATCAAGCAAACACATAGTTATAAATTTTAATTTTTTTTGCTGTTATTTATTATTTGAGTTTCGGTTTGTCAAAAATATAAAACAAAAATTTAATTTTATTATTTGTTGTTATTTATTCTTTGGGTTTGTTAAAAAAAAAAAAAAAATTTTATTTGCTGTTATTGATTATTTGGGCTTGGGCTTGGCCAAAAAATAAAACTAAAATTAACAATAAAAAA